TGCATATGTCTTGTGTATAGCAAAAGAAGCAGCACCCAAAATTTATTTTTGTTTACCATAACTATCTAGAAAAAAGAAATTTCTCTTACAAAATTTTTTTTACATGTAACAATCAAGTTAAAGTTTGCGCAAAATCACTGGTAAAGATTGCGATCTTCGTCTGCACTTCCAATGTTCATAATTTAATGAATGCAAAAGACAAGGGGGCACCCGGATTTGAACCGGGGACCTCTCGATCTGCAGTCGAATGCTCTGCCACTGAGCTATACCCCCACATGTCGCACTACTCTCATAGCGCTGATGCAGCCGCGTGGAGGGTGTAATGCATTTGTTCGCCTTATACAAATGGAAGTTTTGAGTAGCTAAGGCGATCAGTCTGATGTGAACACTTGTGTGAAACATATGCAGTACTTAAAAACTAAACGCGACTTCTTTGATTCTTTTCTACAATTGAACGGATATCTTGTGGGAAGGAACGACGTAAGCATGATTACGATAAAATAAATTTGGCTCAAACATAAGTTTAAATTATATGAATGAAGACATGCTGTTTATGCAAGCATATCTCTCAATTAACGTAATAAATGGCACCATGTCTACCCATTGAACAAGCTCCATGAAGCAGCAGCAATGAAATTACCATTAATAGCACCTTGAGCATTGGTGAAAATACTAAACACCTCTTTGAAAAAATAACCTTGATGGGGTTGACCGGAACAGGAGTTCCAGCAGGATGCGCTATGGATTCCATGTGAAAGTCAAATGTGCTGTACTCCGGTAATGCATCAACAAGGTAGCTTAGGTCTTTATCCAGTCGTTTTTCCAATTTCAGAGTTTCAATTTTGCGTATCGTAGGATTGTACAAATCATACATTATTTCGACACCTAAAAACATCAAATAATTTGATTGGATAATATGGATTGTGATTGTTTTCAAAATTTCTATTTTTACATTCAACCTACCAACACCATCAAGCACATTCCTCAATGTAAACTGATGATGAAGACCCTGCTTTTCTCGTCGAATACAAATGCCCACAAATCGATGTTCTTTACTACCCATATATCTTTCAGAAGTCGTAACGGCAACAATTGAGCCTAGAAAAGATAAGTAAATATTTATTACTTAACGTTTATAAGGGTTTAGCCGAGCGAGTTTTGACATAATCACTTCGCTAATTCAATATATGATGATAACCAATTATATGTAACTACGACACGTGATTTGAACAATGGCAACCATTAACATTTTGAAACAACTTTCCATTCCTTTCGTTTTGC